GTGGAAATGGGCATCAGGTAATGTGATGGAAATTGTGAAGTGGAAGTGGGTATCTGGTAATGCAATGGTGAAGTGGAAATGGGCATGATGCAACGCAATGGCAATGGCGAAGTGGAAATGGACATGAGGTAATGTGATGGGAATGGTGAAGTGGATATGGGCATCATGTTATGCAATGGCAATGTGAAAATGGGCATCTGGTAATGCAATGGCACTGATGAAATGGAAATGGGTATCGGGTAATGTGATGGAAATTGTGAAATGGATATCTGGTAATGCAATGGCAATGGTGAAGTGGAAATGGGCACGAGGTAATGTGATGGCAATGGTGAAGTGCATATGGGAATCATGTTATGCAATGACAATGGTGAAGTGAAAATGGGCATCAGGTAATGCGATGGGAATGGTGAAGTGGAAATGGGCATCTGGTAATGCAATGGCACTGATGAAATGGAAATGGGTATCGGGTAATGTTATGAAATTGTGAAGTCGAAATGGGTATCTGCTAATGCAATGGCAAAGTGGAAATGGGCATGAGGTAAAGTGATGGCAATGGTGAAGTGCATATGGGAATCATGTTATGCAATGACAATGGTGAAGTGGAAATGGGCATCAGGTAAGGTGATGGCAATGGTGGAGTGGAAATGGGCATCAGGTAATGTGATGGAAATTGTGAAGTGGGTATCTGGTAATGTGATGGAAATTGTGAAATGGAAATGGGTATCTGGTAATGCAATGACAATGGTGAAGTGGAAATGGGCATGAGGTAATGTGATGGCAATGGTGAAGTGCATATGGGCATCTGGTAATGCAATGGCACTGATGAAATGGAAATGGGTATCGGGTAATGTGATGGAAATTGTGAAATGGAAATGGGTATGATGCAACGCAATGGCAATGGTGAAATGGAAATGGACATCAGGTAATGTGATGGGAATGGTGAAGAGGATATGGGCATCAGGTAATGCAATGGCAATGGTGAAATGGAAATTGGCATCAGGTAATGCAATGGTACTGATGAAATGGAAATGGGTATCGGGTAATGTGATGGAAATTGTGAAATGGAAATGGGTATCTGGTAATGCAATGGCAATGGTGAAGTGGAAATGGGCATGAGGTAATGTGATGGCAATGGTGAAGTGCATATGGGAATCATGTTATGCAATGACAATGGTGAAGTGGAAATGGGCATCAGGTAATGTGATGGCAATGGCGAAGTGGAAATGGGCATCAGGTAATGTGATGGCAATGGCGAAGTGGATATGGGCATCAGGCAATGCAATGGCAAAGTGGAAATGGGCATCAGGTAATGTGATGGAAATGGTGAAGAGGATATGGGCATCATGTTATGCAATGGCAATGGTGAAGTGGAAATGGGCATCAGGTAATGCAATGGCAATGGTGAAATGGAAATTGGCATCAGGTAATGCAATGGTACTGATGAAGTGGAAATAGGAATGATGCAATGCAATGGCAAAGTTGAATAATGTGATGGCAATGGTGAAGTGGAAATGGGCATCAGTAATGCAATGGCAATGGCGAAGTGGAAATGGACATCAGTAATGTGATGGGAATGGTGAAATGGAAATGGGCATCAGTAATGCAATGGTACTGATGAAGTGGAAATAGGCATGATGCAATGCATGGCAAAGTTGAATAATGTGATGGCAATGGGGAAGTGGAAATGGGCATCAGTAATGCAA